AATGGTCCTGAAAGACAAAAACCATTTCCAGAATTACAGCAATACCGATATCTGAACGATTCTATACTTTGGTACTCGGGTTCTTTATTGCAAAAAGGAATAACTGCCAAAATGTTGCAAAAATCTCTGCAATATTTAAAATCGAAATTTCAGCTTTCTTTCCGAATTGCTTATAATCCTTTTACGAAGTATCATAATGTATTGAAAAGGTAATAACAATTGGTTTATGTTCTTTTAGGTCATGCACAACAGATAATATTACCAATTATGTATGTTATGTATTACAGATAAAAACTATTCTATTTGTTGTCAATGGATATAGTGTAGTTCACATATAACTAAATGGTACTATGCCTACATATGGGTAAATGCAATGTACTTGTTTTTCATTCACTGTATTTATTGGTTGCAGCGCTCCCCTTCGCCGGGTACCCTCCACGGGTTTGAAAGCAGTTGTTGCTGCACTCTCTCTATGCAAAGAAGTGAGCCTCTATGGATTCTATCCTCTTGCAGTCGACTCGAATGGTAACAACATTCCATATCACTATTTTGGAACAAATTCCTCAATAGATTCGTTCAAATCTGCACACAATTGGACTGAAGAATTTGAGTTATATAAATCCTGGAATGCAAGTGGTATATTAAGATATGTGACAAGAAAATGCAATTGAGAATAGCGCGCAGTGGAAATAAAACTAGAAGATGTATGATGCCTTTTGGAGATTGACATCGAAACGATCCCCAAACTTATTCATGGTTTTACATTGTGTGATGTTATTGTACATCTACGAAGCATGTTATATTGTATAGTGTATATTCAAGCATGTATATTTACGAATCCTATCATATATTGCCTATACGTTATTTGTATTGTAACTGGGGGATATGCGTTGCGTTAAGATTAACTGCCTTTATATCTTAATAATCTAAAGCCACAAGATGGTTTCTAGAAGAGAGAGAGAGACGTTGTGAGAGAAGCAATTAAACATATTCACAAAATGCTATGCACACCAGCACTGACAGATTCAGACATGATACTTTGACTAATTTCAAGATTTTGCTGATTTTGTTAATTTACTATAAAATATATCCTCACAATGAGATTGTTGGCACTTTAGCTAAATTAAGATTCTGTTAATTCATCTATTGACTTAAATTCACTAAAGTGCCATGCTATCTCAACATGTTATACAGTAGTGTGAGTAGTGTGAACTTACTGGTAATAACCACAACGCATAATACAGGTTCTTTTTTAATATTGATCAAATGACGAAATGGCAATGGATGTTGACAATCAACAACACATAATTTGCACTATATATATTCTTATACAATCAAATGCCCTCATAATAATAATAATAATACTGTCCAATATATCACATGTATACATATATGAATTAAGAATTGTTTTTCCATCGAGCATATTGGTACTAATTTACTTTGTTGATAACAAAGTGATGCAATGATTTCCTACCGTGAATCTACTTTCAAGTTCAAATTTTCCAACAATGTTCTAATCTCTTCTGTCTATTGTACAGTGGTCATGGTATGCAGGTAGTTTGGTAGACTCTTCACAAAATCTTGTGCGAGATGATAGGTTTTCAATGCCTTCACAGCCACATGCAGACACATCGCATAGAAAGTTCGCCGCCATAAAACACACGCCTTCTTTGGACTTAGTTCAACATGGACGTGTAACACAACTGTCATATGGAAAGGCAGCCATGTGTAACATAACGGTTTTAATAGACACTGGCCCCTACACAATGATGTACCAGGTGTTGTCCTAATTCACCAATCAGCAGCCTAAACGCGGAATTGCAGTGCAATCAGATCACGTGTCACATGCAACTACTCTTCTAATCCGTGGCTCCCACCAAATAATATGCACGTGTCAGGTCGCATGTCACATCGTAGATACCATCCAATTAGTGCCTTCGTCAATGCTACTTGTACCTCGGTAATCAGTTCGTATACCAGGTATGTCGCCCTCTAAAATACGTAAGAGGGCGTTCATCCGTACGGCTCTCCATTGAGTCTGAAATTTAGGTCATTCTAATTAAGCGTCGGTCAGTCTGACAGTGGTTCATTGGTGGACTATAATAAACCAACAAAGCTGCCTAAAATCAATTATAAAATTATTTAATAAGCCAGCATTCAGCAATAAATTCACATATTTAACATATCTTACCTAAATCCCTGAAATACAATTATTATTGTGTACATTTGTTGCCCATCATGCTACTACCGGAGTTGTTGGGTGGGTCATTATTCACACAAATCTGAATTTAATGGACTTGTAAATTTCCCGATACAACTTTTGTTGAAGACTTACAATTGGGTATGGCTTTACTATGCCAGTTGAAACGTTGACAAGAATATTACGTGATATGCAAACAAATTACCATTGTTACAGTAGTTGATCACATGACAACAACAATTTACTGTTGAGAAATAGATATAATATTGAGCCATTTTACCAATGTGATTATATTTTTACTGAAAATATTTAAACAAAATATGGGACGCTCTATATGAGAACGATGAGCACAGAGTGTGTATATGGCGAGTGTGTATATAACAGTGGGGCCATTGATGTCAAATTACTCGCAAAACAAATGGAACAGCACGTTGTTCGTGATGAAACAATTGCATAACAATATTAGAGTTGCACGTAGGATACTATGTATTTGTATATTTGTACAACGGCTGATGCAATAAATCACGGATGTCCGTGTAAACAATGCAGAAAAAAGCAGTTACTGGTGATTGCGTGTGTGGTCGACGATTTGAAAGTATTTATTCAGACCAAGTTATTGACACATTCGTTAGTCAAATTTGAATTGCCACATCATTTATTGGAGCGAGGAGAGAAAGAAACATTTTATTTTAACTCATTTCCTGCCAGCCCAGTGTACTTTTACATTTACTTGACCAGATAAAGATTGATGTACGTTCATATAACTTAAGGTAAGTTGTGTTAATTTTGACAAAGACATCAATTACACATTTTGTGGTTACACAATTATCATATATGCAGTGTATATCGACGTAATATGCAGTATCACAGTCACATGTCGACCGTATCCCAATTCCGCAGTGCTGGAGCTGATACTTTGCGAATGTGCCACCAAAGTAAGAACAAGTAAATGTCTTAGTTCCTTAATGTAATATAATATATATCTGCTTGTTTGATCGTTGAAATGCTGAAATGGTATGGACATCAACGATACCATTTATATTTATATAAATTTTGTAGACATCTTGTTGTTTTAGCCGTTTAGCTTTAATCATTTTGCTATTTAGTACTGATACTATACATATTACGAATTTTAACGAATGATTTCAACAATTTCATATTTATCATACATTGGATACGATTGTTGATACCCAAGACAACGCCACTCCATGTGTTACTCGGCTGTGTTTATTCCTAATTTATTCGGACAACATTCTGCAGTGTCTACAATGATAGCAAATAAAATACACTCCTTTTGTATGTAGGTATTGTTTTGAACATTGCATTTGCGAACATCCTCTAACTTGTCCAATAACGCGCATTAATACGCAATGTGATCAGTCCATTAATTTGCATATTGCTCAGCGGAAAGCGCTTCTGCTTTTAGTGGCTGTGATTATAAGTTCGAATCTCGTTTGTTGCGAGTTTATATTAGAAGTTCATGCTCCATAATTAATATTCAATTACAATACCCTACCCATCGTTTTGTTTAGCACATCCAAAATCGTTTCAGTTAATATACAAATACAATACACAAGCAAGCAACTTGAGAACATATCTTCGTCATTAATTTATAGATATTTTTTAAAATGTATGAATTATGTTGTGCCTGACCCACGCCAGACCTCGTCCACCCAAAGACTGACCAGCGACCAGTGTGGCTAATATTTTAAGCGAAATTACGATAAACATATATATGAATGAATATGTGTCAGTCAATCGTTAACCTGTCTACATATTTCTTTCACAATAGTTTTACAGTCAACTCATATCCTACATAGACCTGTCTACACTGAACCCATTGTGAACCTTTGGTAACCTGTCTACACAGAACGTGTTTCTTAGTTCCTTCAAACTTCAGAACAGCTTTGCCTGTTTTACTTTCAATTCTATATTCTCCGTAAACTGAATCCTTGCTCCAGTAATTTGTTTTGTGTTTAAACATATTAAATTTTATATGGTTCTGTGATTTTTCAGGTCCTATCGTCATGGCAAGAAGAATTACATTATTCCGGGTTGTTCAACTTTCTCTTATCGTGTTGACGTGTTTTGTAATAGGAATTAAACTGATGCATCTAATCATTCCACGTGGTGGTCCAGAAGATAACACACTCGCAGACAGATATGTGATGAATATCTTCGAGCGCAAGACATGTGCCACTGGTAAATTTGCTATTGGGCCGTTAGACGCCGACGCACTGCGACGACAACGTGATGAATACATAGAGTGGACGCTGGAGGAAAATAAACTATCGGAACCAACAACGTCGTGTTTAGCCATGTCTCCGATACAATACATGGGATCAGGAATTTCAGTAGAACCTTTTCATTCTGTCCGCCTGGTTTTTATCGAAGTTCATCCTTCTGTGTCTAAAACAGATATATCAATCAAGTCTAGACAATCACTGGGGAACATCTACGTTGAGATGTACTCGTATGCAAACTCGTTACAAATAATTGGCAATAATACCCATCAAATACAGATAAAGACAGACAATGTATACGATCTGAACACAGCTCTGAGACACTTGATTTTACGAGTGTCGAGTTTCATATAAGAAAAAGAGATGTTCTTATAGTAAGTTTGCAAGATGTCCATATCTTCATCAATGTATTAATACAGCGATTACATATACCTAGACTGTATGACCCGGGACCTGATAATGATATCAATAATAAAGTGACTGTAATATCGAAAACATGCGAACGCTATGAACGCGTAAATGAAATGATTTCAAGTGTGAACAAATTCTATCCCAAAATGGCGATACTAATCGCTGACGATTCTCGGAATAAACAGACGTTGAATGGAACAAATGTGAAGCATTTTCTGATGCCATATTTAGAAGGTTATGCGGCGGGGAAGAACTTACTTGTGAGTCAGGTGCGTACAAAGTACTTACTGTGGGTCGACGACTATTTTGAGTTTACCCGTGGCACCATTTTAGAGCGGCTCCTTGAGAAATTGGAATCTCCCACAGCAGAGCTGGATGTAGTGGCTGGTTTCATTAGCGATCACAAAGGGGGCGTTTCTGATACCATAAATAATGACCCATGGAAGTGGCTAAAATACTCGAGAGACCCGGATGGTAATGGATGTATAGTCAGGACGGAGACATCGTTTCCATACGGCACAGTAGAGAGATTCCCTAACTGTGCTTTCAAGGACGTTGTGCCAAACTTCTTTATGGCGAAGACTGAATCACTTAGAAAAGTTGGCTTCGATTCAACTTTTGAACAAGTAGCTCATCATGAATTATTCATAGATGGGTGGGGATACTTGAAAATTGTCCAGTGTGATGACGTCACCATTCTGCACGACCGAAGCAAAAGTATAGTTGAAAGCACTTTTATAAATCATCATTTTTCGGAAGAGGAGCTCGTTGAACATTCTGATCACGTACTTTTTAAAAACGGACTGGAGAATTTTCAATCATGGAATCCACATTATTTTGGTAAACGAAGGAATTAGGGTTGGGTTAATTCTCACATAGATATATTTCGTATATTATTATTGTAACTGTCTGAGTCATAGCAGGGACAACGGAAAAAAATACTTTGTAACTAAAAATCAAACTGGACAATGAAATCTGGTAAGCTATGTACAAGTTTAATGATAATAATTACAATTTCTGCTGAATATACTACCATCTGAATTATGACGTTTCTGATGCTTGTTTTTTGTCTTCGGCATACATGTTTTTGTTAGTGCGTGCCTTTCTGACGTCTGTTGATATTATCCCAATGCTGGAAGGTCTTTTCCCGCTCCTTCACGTTAAATAGTGGAATGTGATGGCTAATAGGTCTTGGCGATGTAATGCATATAACTAATAATGTTTCAATCACTGTACGACGTACGATGTCAGGCAACATTTCATCTCTATATTGTATCTGTGAAGCTTGCACGTGTTCACACATACATGTAGTGTGTTTAACAAGCAAAACTGTGTTACACAAGTATTCTGAGAACCAACAATTACAAATTAAGCAAGTAATCATCATTGTAGGAGCGCATTTAGTATGCGTCTGCTCACAGTGGCGCACGAGGCGCATTTGCCTAGTTGCCAGTAATTTCGAGTCCATCTCAGCATTTGGAGTTTTCTGATTTGATACTCCAATGCAGATTATCTTCGTTTTGGACGCTCTTCCCATTGATAGTGGCAATGCGTCGTCTTTGCTGTTGACCTCACTTACCAATAAATTTGTTCTTTCGCAGACTTTTTTTCTTTTATGAGCGTTTCCTCTTTACTTAATAAAATTTAGGACCTCGTCCTAATTGTTACCGGCCAGTGGCCATCGCCAATTTTAGTAGTTTTAAGGTTGTCCATGGCAACTGATTCTGTTGATATCTAATTCTGTTTCCTCCAGTACTGTATTATGTTTGCTTCCACTAGTGTTAAAGTGGTATCTTCAGCCTGTTCGTGCATTGACCAAATGCCTGCGTAAGGGTCCCAAATATAACTTCAACCAGTAGATATAGATTACTTTTGCCTTTATTAGAAGTCTTGCTGAATCTTGTAAAGTAGCAGTTAGTTTAGAAATGACCAACTTTGGCCATCACTATTTTGCATGGTATTTGTTATTTGTTGTGTCCAGAACCCAGACAAACTGGTCCCGTTCAATTGAAATGGTATCTAGTATGTCCCACACAATGACAGTACGTCCATCTCAAACACTTTATCAAGTTGTACATTTTTGTCGATCATTTCTTCTCCACCAAGAACATTTCAATTTGTACATACACCTGTGCCGTACCAAACTGTGTTATTGTGCTCCCATCAATAACAATTATGTGGAACTGACTGCATCTAAGGTTGTCTGGTTGTAGCAATCCCATCAACCCTGTGTCATTTAAAAGCTTTCAATAAATTCTGTGGATTCAACCATTACATACATCCTAAGGTTCATGGTTGCTTGCTGATATTAACTAATCATCAGTGACACTCGCACATGATCAATTTCTGATAGTGGCTTCCAAATTATATGGCTATTTTTGTTGCTGGCATTTTTGAATTGGAGGTATTATGATACACAATTACCACCATGACATCTCACTGTGTCTACTTTATCCTGTTTTTATTCGCCCTACTAAATCGTGAATATCTCTATGGCAACCATTGTATTCAAAAATAAAGCTTGGTGGAACTAGAAAACCTACCCAAGATATGGAGATACCGGGCAATATAACTACTTATAGAATTCTGACAATCTTGGACTGCCATTTAGTCGTTCTGTAATAATCACACATCTAATTGTATTGCTCAATAAATGATTGAAAACGTAAATTTTAGAATTCCTTCACGCCAAATCGTTTCCCAAATAAGAGACCCACTCAGTCTGACCTCATATGAAGTAACACATGAAGACATATCTGACCATCACTGAGGAACTATTAAATATGTCCTCGGTTGCTCCACACCAAACACTGCTAAAAGCCATAGTTCACTTAGCTGCCATAATACTGGACTCCAATGTCCGGTATAGTTTACAGATCTGAAATGTAATCGGGGATTGTGGTGTATAAATGACTTATTCTTTACTTGTTCCATAAATGAGTATGAATGAATGAATGAATACCAATATGTATATGAGTAGCAATGTTAATGTGTCACTTTTATATTTCGCTTGTATATAATGCAGTATTATGATCAACTTCTTTGAGTGTCGATTTCGCAATTCAGATGGTTTCCCCTTCAACATTTACTTTGATCTTAAAATTATGAATATGATGTTCATTAAACCAAAAGGTTTCACATTTGCCAGGTGTCCATGTTGTAGTTTCTATGACAACATACTTATATTTCCCAATAATACCCTAATTCAACAAGTAAAATCTCTAAAATCTTTTGTGCAAAATACTCTAGTTTACAACCTTTAATTTAACGACTTTTTACAGTACATATTTCATTATATAGTTTTGATGTAACTACTACAACACTTTGCAAATGAGTTTCTGGAATTAGAATATACACAACCGAGAATAATGTGACGATTGTATTTTTCTTCGTAGACTGTATGTATCAATACACACCGACAGTCAGGCCATCTAGACAGCTGGCTTTGTGGATCATCATTAAACAAATAAATTGTAGTATGCATTTACAAATACATCAATGATATCGCCTTTATTTCTTTGCGACGTCATCTGATTGACATATTCACTAAATATGCTATAATGAGTTCTGTTTATGTTCATTTCAGTGTTCATTCATACGAAGTATACAATGTGTACTGTAATGTTATTCATATCGCGCCGCGCGTGTTCGAATTTCATGTAAACAAACAATGTATTTTACACGCGTTGTGTACGTCGCTATAAGTACCATATCAAACAGGACGCGACACGACGACCACCACCCTTTAAATCCTACGGTTCTAATCTGTAAGCGCTGTACAAAGATTTATTTACACAATGTGGTATGCAAGAAAACCGATTTCAACGATATCCCTCGTTATTAAGATATTTAAATTACAATTGAGGTAACTATTGATGACATAACGGATTCACGTTTATACCAATTCTTCTTAATCAGAGTCATTTCCCTCCAGTGCTTGCTGCATATCTGATACTGAATGTGGATCAATTTGATAGGTTAATGACAGGATTATCTTTTCGTTAGGCACACATTTAGACGGTACAACTATCTGCGAATATATAAAATATGGTAAGCATGATGTTAGTGTTTTTTCTATCATAAGTTGCTGGACTTTGTAATTTGAAATCTTTGATCGGAATCTATAAACAACATTGTATTCTGTCTTGTTGTCATAAAAACTAACACTGTATTCTACGAAATTGTTTGCACAATGATTTTTATCAATATTCAAGATATGAAAGTTATATATTGGTACTGATGAATTTCATGTGATTATATGATGATCAATTAATTTTTAAATATGAGCGTAAACATTGATTGGAATATTATATAAATATTTAGATTGGGTGTATGTCTTTTGTCAAAAAGCATTTAATTAGTAGAATTTCTTAATATCAGAGTTTAAATTATTAATGTAGTTTTATAATGATTACTCTTAGTAATTAGTGTACTTGTCAGAGTCCACATATACTATTGTACACAGTTATCATGTGAAAGATAAGTGATTGCGTATTACTATATTTAAATGTTTTATTTATTTATACATACTCAGCGCCCTCTATGTCGTGAATGAAACGTTTGAGTTAAAAGTTACCTTCACGAGATCAGACGGCTTGATGCGATGGAATTTGATATATTCCGCCATGTTGTTCATAATACCAATCTTGGATATTTTGTAGCGTTGTGAGTAAGCCTTGGCCCATTTTAGTAACGCATTGAATTTTGTGATTTCATCTACCTGTAAAAATCATAATTTATTGTATATATAATTATAATTGACGAGAATGATGGGTA